TTGATGGTCTATAGGACAGCAGAGCATGAAACCACTGGATACACTCCAACAAAGTTGATGTTTGGTCGAGAACTTCGGTTGTCAGTGGATCTGTTAACAGGACGCCCACCTTATGAAGACTTGCATGAGAATATGTCAGAGTTTGTGAAAGTGTTATCGGAAAAGATGGATGATATTCACCATCAAGTGCATACAAACTTGAAAACGTCTGCTGATTCGATGAAGCTATCTAATGATAAGAGATCTACTGAAATCAGCTTTGAACCAGGAGACAAGGTGTTGTTGTATAATCCCAGGAAGACCAAAGGGAAGTCTCCTAAGTTGTCTTCTCCATGGGAAGGCCCATATGATATAGTGGATCGTCTCTCAGACGTGACTTTCCGGATAAAATGTGGTTGGCGAGATAAGCCAAAAGTGGTGTATGCCAACAGGCTTTGGCGTTATCACGGTCCAGGACATTTCAGTTGGGACGAAGTGAACAAAGGAACAAATGACGCTGCTGAAAAGGTGTCACCTGAAAAAGCCACCGTCAAAGAAGAAACTCTACTCAGTTTTGAGAAGGGAAACGGTACTTGATGAAGTTACTACCACTGATGTGACTGTTACCGACGGTAGGACATTTCCTGATGAAGCAGATGAGCCACACGTAAAGCAGAAGCCAACGAGATGGAGACCAGTACGGAAGAAGATACGTCCCGTAAAAGTAAGAGACTTTGTTGAATTGTAATTTTGTGTTTGTAATTCTGTTCATTTAATTAAGTTATTGTTAATTGTTATTGGTTTAATGTAAGTGGCTATTGCTCGGGACGGACAATACTAAGGAAGGGGCAGTGTTAAGACATCGAGGTCACGTGACTAGCATCACGCCACGTCATTCTCGAACATTCACGTCTTTTCCATAAACCTCGTGGTCCTTCTAGATATAGTGTAGTCTTGTATATATAAGACCGGCCATGAAGCGACCGGAAAGTAATGAGTAATTGAATGTATGCTGACAGAGAGAATATTGTTGGGCACCTGAGCGTTCGTTGAGAATTATAGCGTTTGTTATAGAGCGACTGTTGAAATTAAGTGTATCGCAAAGTTGTATTCGGAAAGAATAAACCAGTTTTATTTAAGAAAGGACTTGTGTCGCTAAAGTTTAGTCGGAACGAATTTACGGAAAATTAACTAACGAACGGAGACGTAACAATATATAATTTGCTACCTCACAAGACCACTATTAGTATTACATCGGTCGCATCTCAGTTGGCAACCGGTACGTGAAGCTCTGATATTATATGAAAGTCCTTGTCGACGTCTGCACTGGATATGGCAGATGGTGTGATTGACAAGTTATTACACATTACTCGCTTTTACTTTCAACTTCTTAGGATTAGATTCAAGGAAATACACATACCCTGCTTCCAGTATGCACCATATTAAGTATCCAAAATTATTTCATCCTCCATTAATTTCTCTCTGATCTTATACCAGCAGGATTTGACAATCATTGATCTTGTGTTCATTGGTTTTCATTTCGAACTAACTCATGTCCACATTCAAACTAAAAACGAAATATTGTACTTTTTACTTATCTATTATTATTATTATCAGCCTTTCCGTCGTTGTTTTAAATATCATTCAAACCCGTCACTTTTACAATGCCCTCTGGTGGTTGAACAGTTAAGTCAGTGGGCTTATAACGTTAAAAATAGGTTTTCGATACCTGCGGTGGGCAGAGCGCAGATAGTTGCTATATGCTATATGCTATGTGCTTTACAACAAACCATAACTAAATTTTAAGTTTGTTTATAATTTTAAGTTATGTCATAAAAAAGAAGTTATGCTAACCGAACGTTACTTCATTTCTATATTGATTTTTATTAGCCGCGACACAGCGCCTCATAGAATGGCTCCAAGTTTGTTTGTTTTTTCAAGTACAAACTTTTAATTCATAGCTCCATCTCTTGGCCGATTTGAGATTTATTTACAGCCGTAGCTGCTGAGGATTCCCTCTTGTTTTTATCTTGAATATGCTTCCGGTAATTCGACCGATTTTGGTAAATTACATATTTGTTATTACTCACTATACTTCTTCAGATCTTGCTAACTTAATTTTATTTTTTTATTTATTTTTCTGACAACATCAATATTAGTTAATCTCTCTTTAAAATCACTTTATTCACTCCTTACATAATCTAAGGTTTTGTTTGTACCTTACACTTTTCTATACCAAACTTAACGCAATTTTATACTCTGTAGTTGCGAAATATTAAGACGTGTCGTTGAATGTTCAACTCTTAGTGATAGACAAATGAAGGTCACTAACCTAGAAATACCCCGGGTTATTAACCTGCCAGTAGTTGTAGTTAGTGATTGGTGTCACTTGAAGGCAAACTGGCTACTGGTGCTATTCGTGAACATGAAATTTAAACATAGCAATCAGTACTTATGTGGAAAATGCAGACAAAGAACAACAACAAAAAACACACGTCAAAGTAGCAAAATGTACATGCTTCTCTGAAGAAGTTCTTCACCTACCTTCGCCATTGTTTTAAAGTAGTATGAGTTAACAATATCTGAGCACATTTATATTTTAACTTTATCATTTTTTAATACATGACACCTTATTGCACCTCATATATACAGGCCTAGTAACTAATGATAAAAAAAAGAATATTTTAGTAAATACATTTATTTATGGAATTTTATAATCTTAAATATGTTTTCTTTATATTTATTATAGCAAAGCCACAATGGGCTGTCTGCTGTGTCCACTAAGGGGATTCGAACCCATAATTTTAGCATTGTAAATTTGAAGGTTTACTGGTGTCCCACCGGGAGCTTTTTAATATTTATCCACTTAAACTTACTTATATAGATGAATCTTCAACTGCACAAATATTGTTACAGGTGAAAAATTTGTGATCAACTGCACACTAGAAAAAACCTTGAACAATGTAACAGTAGAATAAGTGAGTCCTAGCTGAAGGCAACCCCACATTTTTTGTTGTTGTATATATGCTTGTTCCTATCTGAGACCACTATAACACCCAGCACTTTTCAGTACTGATCTATGTAGTCAGTATCCTCTTGAAACTCCTTCAAATAGGTTTAATGTAAAAATGGGTCACTGTCAGGCGAAAAATTTATTTACAGTTTTTATTAAAACCACAAAAGACTTAGAAAGATTTTTTTTTTTTTACAGGATCACCTGATGATATTGTCAGCTAAAAATTGATTAAAATTATTTTCGATATAAGCCGGCGTTAAAAGATTTCAGTCAGATCTTAATTATTTGTTTTAGTAGTACTCTAGATACGTTGGACAAATAATTTTGACTATTCTTCTATAGGCTAACGATAAAAGTTGGGAACAACTGCTGTCTAATATATTCGATATCAAGCTTGTGTGATCGCAGTTTGGTTTTGAGAACCTCTACCTTGAAAAGCTGGATTCTGTGGTGATCTACGTTGGGTCAGAACTCGTAATAAAAAGCGAAATACGCATCAAAAACATTCATATATGTATAATATAAATGAGCTAGTCAGATTAGTTATGGAGTTCAAACGTTTATCATTATTATTAATGCGTTCATTTGTTTACTTTACCTTTCCATTGTTGGTGTTACAAATTGACGATTAATCCTACTATTTGGTGGTTTAGTGTAACCTAAGAGATGGTGGTGGTTGCTGCCGGCCGATTGCCTTCCCTATGGTTTTTCGTTTAGAATTAGGCAGGAGATAGCCTTAGTAGCTTTGCCATAAACAAAACAACAACAACAACAAAAATTATGTAATGGTAAAAAAAAAAGAAGTCAGGATTCAATTTCTGGGGAAGACGCAGCACAGATAGCACACTGTGTAGCTTCGAATTAAAAAAAACTTGTTTATTTCATTTACAGGATAACGCACGAGTAGGAGATGAGTTTATGAAACAACTGGAGCCAATTGCGGCTTATGTACCATATATGACCTGTGTCGGGAACCATGAGCAGGCCTAGTAAGTATTTTCTTATATCGAGACCAAAAATGTAAACTTTTCGTAGTATTAACGGAATTTTTATTCACATACCTAAATTCGTTTAGGTTACTAAACGATGAGTTAAAAGGACAATCTTAGATCGATTTATACCACATAAAACTTTGTACCTTTTAAAATTAAATAATCATTATTTAAACGGCATAGTTAAGTGGTAGCTAACAGTTGAATGTTGTTGTTCTAATACTAGTAATAGGCAACACGCCTAATGAACTGTAGATCATTTTTCGTGAATGAAGTCTAACCGGTCCTTCTCAAAGGTTCTAACTAGCCCTTATCAGGTTTAACTGGTCCACACCAAGAATATGCATATATATGTGTTAATAATATTTTATTAATTGCAGATGTGACTTTTTAAAAGAAAAACACAATTACAAAAGTGTATGTGTATATATGTGTAACATTAAACAAAATCATTTAATTAAAAATAACAGTTTTTGATTCTATCACTTTTAGAATGTGCATAATCTTTACAGATAAATACACAAAAATAATATGACTTGAGATTACTATTTTAATACTGACCTAAAAGTAAGGCATTTCTTCATTGGGATGTTAATATTTGTCCCAATTCGTTTGGATCGATCCTGCTATTCACATCTTCCTGGAACCTCCTTTTTATTTCAGACGTCATAGGGATTTCCCATAATACTTAAAATTAGGCCAGGGATCCCCAGAAAGCTAGATGGTGCATTTGAGAGAGTGACGTAAAGAAGATATTTCAATAGACAAAAACACAACTATTGTTTTAGGGGAGTAGACAACAGTAGAAACAAACTTTATTTCTTGCATCAAATATTTTTATATACATACAAATAACTTCGCTTAGTTATTAAAGTTAGTTTCTTTCTCTTTTCTCTATAATTTGCAAAATCAAAAGAAAGCTTAAATGTCTACACGTCAGTAGTACACTCCATTTCAAATATTATGTTTGTTAACTTCCGGTGGAAATTCTTTCCGAGGAACTTCAGCGATACAAGTCCTTTCTTGATTAAACCAGTTTATTCTTTCTCGATACAAACTTTTAGTACACGGTAATTCCACAATCAGTACGTCTCTCGTCACTTTAAACTTAACTACTTTTATAACACACGCTATAAATCACGGCGATTCACAATCTCGATAACTTCGCTTTCTACGAGTGCAAAACACTAGTTCGAAACAGAATCGTAAATTACCCGGAACTCTCTTCATTTATTTCCGTAGGCTTTCTCTGCCAGGCTTAAATACCAATGAAGGGGGCGTCTCGAATATACTCGGGTCTCCCCGATCATTCATGATCATTCGAGAAATTCATCACGTGTCACCAGCGTCACGTTACTTCCACTGTCGTAACATGTTGTTAAAGACAAACAAAATAAAGCAACGTTGTAAATTGTTTGTTTGTTTGTTATGGATTTCGCGCAAAGCTACACGAGGGCTATCTGTGCTAGCCGTCCCTAATTTAGCAGTGTAGGACTAGAGGGAAGGCAGCTAGTCATCACCACCCACTGCCAACTCTTGGGCTACTATTTTACTAACGAATAGTGGGATTGCGAGTCGACCACCCTAACCACCTGGCCATGCTGGGCCACGTTGTAACTAACTAATAAGTCAACTACTAAATGTTTTACACAAGTAGCTTTATAAAAGCTGCTTTAGCCATATACACGTGTGTCAATTTGGTAAAAAAAAGCAAAGTATATATACAATGGCAAACATAATTGTTTCTAAATGTGATAGAAATGAATTACATATTTTATTTAAGTATTCTACTTTTTAAATGCATTTACCAAACGTAAGAGTACTCGTTGCAGTTTGCCTTCGATTTAACAAATTTATTATCTAATTATGATTAGATATTTTGTAAACGTGGTTTCAGCCTCGACTTCTGATGCCTAGTCAAGAAAGAGCATGAGAGTTTCATCAGAACATATAGTCATAGCTCGTTGATGTGGTCCACATGCTCACACGCACACACCATACTCCCATCATATCTTGAATGTCAATGGATCAATCTGTTGAAGTACTAGATATGGACTCGTCCATTCAGAGCCGAGCTGCTTCTATACCACAGGCACATACCAAAGCCATACCCACTTGTCATATTGTGACTTACATTCCTTGGCAGATTTGTTGTAACATTTCTTTCCTAGCATTGGTTTTCAAACACATACACGTTGGCCAGTGCAGACCTTAGACACTCCACATATTCTTTCAGGTTCTGTGGCACATCCTTAAGGAGCAATATGTCCCTACTTAACACGAGCAGGTTTAGCAAACAATTAGTCAGTCTCTGTTTTGTGTCATGGTATGCCAGCATAATGAACAACAAGTTTTGATCTCAGTTGGTTCAATCAGTATTAACAAACTTTGTCAACATCCACTTGTTAGTTTGTATAACCCACTCTGCCAAACTATCAGATGGAACTGATAATATAAAGAGTGCACATTTCCACCATAATAAATATTTTGCATAACCCTGAGAATGGATGGCTATTGAAATTAACTCCCTCGTCCATGTTACTTTCTTCAGGTGTTTTAAATTGGGCTATCCATTGTTCTACCAACATATTAGGTATAGACTGTGCTGAAGTATCAGTATCAATCAATGAATACGCTTTGGCCCACTTTAGTGAAGTCAATGATAACCACCAGCATATTTGATTTACCTTATTCAGCCCCTGGGAGAGGACCAGCGATATCCAGGGCTATTCTCTGTAAAGGAAAACTAACATTCTCTGTTTTGACTCAAATACCGTATGTAAAACTGCCATCACACGTTAGCAAAACTGTGTAAATCTTTGGTGGCCTTATGCAAGGTCTGAGAAATTTCCTGTCAGGCACAACAAGCCCATTAATCCTAATATAATAACTGTGAGTCGAATTTATAAAAATGTATTATTATGCCATTATACCACTTGAAGATGTACAAGTTTCATACAACTGTACCTAACAATTTTAATATTTTCGTGGTAAAAATGCTCGTTTGTCAGGTAGATATATAATAAATATGGATATCAGTAAAACTAAACTACCTTGTTACAACATTATTACAAAATACTAATGTGAGTAAATTGATATTTACATAAGCAAAACTAAACTTTGGTATAGTCTTTTAGTCACAGATCCACTTCCCAAGGATTGTTCATTATTAACAAATGGGCACTTTGAATGGAAAATGCTAATCAATATTTCTAGTGACCTTTGCAGACTCCTGCAACTTTGTCATTTTAGAAGATTTGCACTTTTAGCATCCACTGGCTTGTCTCCTCTTTTCCAACATTATTTATTGTTTTAATTTATGAAGTCTACAGACCGTTGTCAGCTTTAAACAATAGGTCCAGAACTTACTCAAACTCAGCAGTCATTTAATGATTTTTCTCATATTTTAATGCAAAACATATAGCTATGAGGTAATTCTCAGGAAAGAAGAATGGTGCTATAACTTGTGTGTACACCTACACAGCATGCAGTCAAGTTCAGTTAAAGAAGGGGTGTATACATATTGGCTGTATATTATAAGTCTAAATGCATTCAGTGTTTATCATAGTGTTCTACATTACTTTGTCTTATCGAGATGGATAAAAGACACTGGTTATAATTTATGAACAAGTAATAAAAAATGTACACAAATTAAATATGATGTATGGATGGCATTGCCAAAAAGTACAGAAACAAGGTAGAGATGAATACACAAAACTATATAAAATCACTACATAAGTAGCCAAATCTTTCCAAGAAGACCCCTGTGGCACAGCGGTATGTCTGCGGAATTACAATGCTAGAAGCCAGGTTTCAATACCCGTAGTGGGTAGAGCATAGATAGGTCATAGGGTTTATGTTTAATTACAAACAAACAAACTTTCCAATAATAACTTTTATCTACAACTAAATGTTGAATTCCTGTCAGTTGCGTGAATTCAGGTTTGAATAAAAGCATTTAAACTAAACAGTGCCATAAAGTTTTACTGTGGCTAATAACTGTAAGCTTGTAAAATTGACTGAGCACTTACTAGCTACTTATTTTGGGATTTTTGTATGGTTTTGTGTATTCATTTATACCTTGTTTATGTACTTTTATGCATTGCCATCCCTATATCATACTTAATTTTTGCAGAAAAAAATATTAATGCTTGTTTCTCCTCTCTGTTAAACAATTTCATTGAACAAATTCAATTGAAGTAAGTTGATAAGTAAACATTTGTTTTATTTTCATAAATCAATGGTAATATTTATATATTGTTAATATCATATTAGTTTCTTTAATTTTGGATTACATTGGGGTCAGTGAAGTTGGAATGTTCCTCCAAGATGGAACAAGCATGCTGGAGCATTGGACAGATATTAAGGGAATATTTGCAGAACTCATGCCTTCCAACTTCACTCCAACTCACTTAATATGCATACAATTGACTTTACCACATGCTGGGGTCATGTTGATTAACAGGGAGGACAGCATACAGATCCCAGGTTATGAAGTATGATACCATGCATATTCACACGGCTGCCAGACTCAGCCCCACTGGAAATATGAATAAAAGTAAATCATTATATAATGTATTGTTTTGATAATTGAGAAACTGGTATTTTTAAACTCAGACATGTACACAGGTCTGTCAGTTGCATAAATACTTCATCTCCTTGATACCTTGAATATTAATTTAGATTATTGTACATTTATTTGTTTATTTTTACTAAACATATGTTGGCAGATATCATATTTTTGCAATGAAAAGTCACAAATGGTCGTTATATAAACACGATTTGTGCTTCCATCTAGAGACCAAAAATGAAACTGTTATTTTTAAAACATGGAAATAATATATGCCTATAAACTGAACTCACTACTATAAACATCATAGAGTAATAGATTGAATGTAGCGGCCATGGCCCATACCTACACACTAAACATTACTGTGCTTAATGATGGCCTCTTCCCAAGTTCTCTTTAAATGTTTTTCTGGCTAGTGTGGGAGAAGAAAAAAGAAAGATGATCACTGGTTCTTTAGGTAATTCCTAGTTCTCCACCTTAGCAACACCTTTCAATGTTCTTTAAGATTTTATTTAAAAGATAAGTCAGGTTGTTTTTTAATACTATTTATTAAAAAGATAAATTTGTTATTGATTGACTGGTTACCCTTCATGAATGTATCATCAGCTTACTTTTATATTACTGAGAAAAATTGTTTCATTTGGAGGAAAAGTTACAAGGTAAACGATACTATATACTGATTAGTTTTATACGTTTTAGAATATATCTTTATATGTATATATATCGTACATTCTTTTTTAAATGTGTTTTTATATATAAATTTTTTTCCTGATATAGCAACTTCTCCAACTATGTCAATAGATTTTCTATGGTTGAAAAAACTGGGAAGATCAACAACAATTTTTTCAGGTTTGTGTCGATTTTTATTTCCTTCTTTGAAAAAAGAAAAAACATGAAGCCGTTTGATTGACTTTCAATTCTGGGCGTATTTTTTGAATCCACATATTTTCTTTAGTTCTGACCAATTTTTCGTTTACTGTTCTTCCCAAAATACTGAACTCGTTAGCTGTAAGTATAAAGTCACAGTCTTGTAAACATTGGCGAAGAATGGCTGACTGATTATATGGGATATTTTGCGCATGCTCTTAATTCATGAACTCATACAATGAATTGTAGAGCCCATATAGTCCATGGCGTAAGAACGATGCATTTCAGGAATCCTATTTTTAAATTTAAAGTAACTATTTAAACGACATATCGGTTTATAAACAATTCTATATAGCATCTGTGGTTCAACTTTATTATTCAAAGTCGTTTTGATAAATTTCTTTAATCTATAGCATGTTTACCCGTAAAAGGTAAAATACAATAAACGTTGCTTTGGTTTTAACATATTTACGAATTTTAGAAGCGTACAATACTTTTAGATATTTCTTAATACTACTGTAAATGAACTGTAAAGGAAAACTAGTTTTCTGCAAGTAAACCTTTGTAACATTTCTCCTTAACAAACTACGCGTATGAAGTCACTTTGTGAGACAAAGTTTCTGGTCTTTTTGGCTGCTGTTATTTATCAGTTTGTTTCTCTTGACATGAAGATGTTTTAAAATATATTTTGTAGCTAAGTAGTGTTGATTCAATTTTGAGTTTAACGATCCAAAATTAGCACTTTTTGTCAAAATATTTTGGGTATTTTGAAATAAAATGGATTATCTTTTGGTTTGTGTACATTTTCAGTACATCTGTAAGCATTTGGTTCCGTAATGCTCGACATCATCACTGATTGACAGGTTTTGTAGCGAGTGTTGAGACGGAATGTATTATTACAAAAAGACAAGTGTTTCAGGCGTTTTTTTTAGGGGGTGGGGCACCTAAGTGGTGGTAAAATATTTATTTAAAAGCATGGAAGGGTTGCAATTCCTCCTGAAATCACATGAGGAAGAGTGAAACATTTACAGTTAAAATTGTAATGTACAGCTACAAAAGGTAATCAACACTAGTCATATGGTAGATTTGTTTATTCGTTGAATTTTGCTCAAAGCTACTCAAAGGCTACCTGCGCTATCCGTCCCTAATTTAGAGGTGATAGAGAAGAGGGAAGAAAGTTAGTAAACACCACCCACTACCAATTCTTGGGCTAATCTTTACCAACGAAAAGAGGGATTGACCGTTGCTTGCATCTTGTTACCGTAATATCGTGCTCTGCACTTTGAATCATGGTGCGTTATAAGAGTAACGATCAAATCCTACTATTTGACTTAAGTAGCAGAAAGTTGGCGGTGGATGCTGGTGGATGCTTTTCCTGTAGTCTGTCAGCTCAGAATTAGGGACGGCTACCATAGAGAGCTTTTGTGTGGCTTTGCGTGAATATTCAAAACAAGCAAACGAATAATACCTGTTTTTTGGTTGTTGTTTTTTTTCCCATCAACTGATAGATCTGTTTGTAAAAATATTATATCTCACACTTCATGACTACTTATAACTATGTTTAAATTCAGGTGTCATTTAAACCTAGCATTATAAGACCTAATGGTGTGCTTTTAAAATCGATTTTCATTAATAAACTGTTATGATTTACTCCTGTATCAACCGCGTGTTTAGTTTGCAAGTTTGTGAAAAGCTTATAGAAATTTTTAAATGAAAAAGTTTTAGATCACATATCATATTAAATGTTCTTAAGTAGTTTGTTTTATTTCATTTCCCCCAAAATGAGACCGAAGGCCGCCTGGAAGGATCACCTGTTTTAACCACTCGCACCACTATACAGTAGTGTTGTCTGTCAGTCGGTCAGTAGACACTAAAATGACGTCGCATAAGGGACACTTAACGTTGCAATTTGTACTTTCGTGACGTCAGTACAACGTGTGCATGCTCTGAATCATGAGAAGAATTACGCACAACACAGCATGACATATGAACTTCAAAAGCAAAAAATAAAAATATTTGTTACTCTTAATTTTGGTTTTATTTAATCTTGAAACAGAACACTTTCGAGGATCTGCGCAAGTACATCTAGTAGTAAATATGAATTTGTGAAAGACGTGTATTTTCAACATATAAAAAAGAAAGATTGTAAGCATATTTTGTTTGAAAAACTGTTTAAATCCAAATCACATGATTTCTTTGCACCTTCAAGTTATTTATATTTTACTATCATAATTTATGCTAATTTGAAATTAATATTAATACTGAAGAACAAAAGAGTGACTTTTGCAAAAGGCTGCATTTTATACATGAATTATACACCCAATAAATACATACCTGTACAGTTTTAAAGGGTTTCAGAAAGTTTTATTCACTGACAGCTTTTCAGTTTACAACTGATTGACACTTTCACGATTTTGCTCAGCTGAACAAAACACGTGTTGCCAAAGTGTATTTACATTTATTGCCATACCGATCTCTTATAAAAGTTACATTTTTCACCAGCATTGATTTACGTCATGATTTTTTATTCTTAATATGCAATATTTAAAATATATATATTTTTAACTGTCTTTCTTCGTTTTCAAAACATATATATTTAAAAAAGCCAAAAAATCCACTTGTGAACCCACTTCCAGTCAGATGTGGTTTTGAAATATAAACATTGAATAAAAATCTATAAACATTAGAAAATAAAATAAAAGTGTAAATTCATTTCCCTTTATTTCGTAGTTATAATAATCTGATGGAGACCATCTTCTTTCTCTTCCTCT